AAAAGATCATTTTTGAATTGGTATATTATTAAGCTGTTAGAATTTTGAGATTTAATTTTTATAAACTCTTTTGATACATCCTATTAATAGTTAATTTGAATTCTGAAGTTTACGTTATCGATAATTACTTTGTAGAGTTTTTGGGGAATTGTACCTAAAAATAAAGCATCTTATACAATTTACAATTCATTTAAGATTATAATAATTAATATGTAATAATAATCATGAAATCTAATTTACTATAATTTAAATCATTTAAATATCTATTCAAGGTTCTTTTCAAATACACAATGATTCAAGCTTTCCACTTTCTACGCATATTTTTCTCAATTCTGAATCAAGATTTTGTAAAAGAGTATATGGATTATCAAACTCGATGATCTTTCCATTGTCTGTTCCATTCATAAAGCAAATTTAGCACATAAATAAGCAAAAGAAATTAAAAAAAAAATAAAGAGAAAATAATACCCAGCACTAGAATTTTATCATAATCCATAATAGTTTCTATGCGATGCGTAATATATAAAAGAGTTGAATCTTTGAATTCTTCACGTATTGTTTTTTGAATTTTACAGTCTATATCATAATCTATACTAGCAGTCAATTCATCCATAATAACCACTTTAGATTTATTAAGAATTGCTCTTGCAAGAGCAATTTGCTGCCGTTGGCCTTGACTGAAATTGTTACCACCTACATCAACAATTGTATCAGGAGTTAATGAACTATCATTTCCAATTAAATGGACCTTCCGAAGCACATCATAGATTTTATATGTTGGAATATCTTTGTCATGGCATAAATTGTCACTAATAAATGAAAGTAAAATATATATTTATTATAATGTATAGCATTTAAAAATCTTTTCAATTTTGAGTAATAAGTGATAGATCGTAATTGAAGGGTATAACATGCTCTACAATATTTTTAGATCCCAAGAGAAGTTTACTTGGTATAAAAAATTTTCATTATAAACCAAATGTATTCAAACATTATGGAAGAACTATATTAATTTCCGGTAATTTGCACTATCGAATTTATTATTTTTTTTGGTCATTAACCGACATCACATACTGTAATGTGACAATTTACATATGCTAAATTGTTGTTATCTTAAGTAATGTCAGTTAAATAATTGGTCGGTGAAATGATTGTTGGTGGAGTGATTGTCACCAATCATACCCTCTAACCACAATTTTGCTCTGAATTTTTTTAACAGTCCGTAAACAGTATATTTGTAACTGATAATTCAGATGACGAGATAATCACACAATGTAAGTTTGTGAGAGTTGAATTTAGGTGGATTAAGATATAAAAATTAAGGTGTGGGTTTATATAAAATAAATTTGAAATTCTAATTCTCATTAAGAAATTCCAAATCCACTTGAGTTCCATTCCCACTTACAATAGAACCAAATATAGAGATTAAAATATTAATCTTACTTTAATGAACCTTTAAAGAGTAATGGGTTTTGGGGTATTATAGAAATTTTACGTCTCAAAGCATATATGTCAACTTTTGAAATATCGATCCCATCGATAATGATCTGGCCATTGTTTGAATTTAATCTTATAAAAGATTTAGCCAGAGTGAACTTTCCAGATCCTATAAAAAAAAAGTTAAATTTAAAAGTATTCATTTAAGATGTGTATATATCATGCCTGAAGTTAGCACTTGACTAAAATCGCAACTTAGGCTGCTAAAGTTACACTGCCTAAAATTACTAATACGTACAAGATGATCCAATTTTAAGGATAATTTCAGTCAAGTGCAACTTTAGATACCGAAAGTTGCAACTTTAACTTTGGGCACGACATAATGTACACATATTATAAACAAAAAAATAAATAAATAAATAAAATACCAGTTCTACCAATAATTCCAATCTTTTCTCCAGGATTTACATGAAATGAAATATTTTTTAATACAGGAGAATCATTAATCGAGTATCGTACTTCAAG